GCTTCTTTTGGAACAATACCGGGGCTCCATAAGGTGCTTTTGATGGACGGATATATCCCATGTCCACCAACTCCTTCAATTGCCTCCTAAGTTCCTCAAGCTCCGGAGGCGCCATACGGTAAGGCACTGCCGCAGGTGGTGTGGCACCAGGCACCAACTCTATCTTGTGGTCCACCTCTCTCTTTGGTGGCAACCTCTTGGGCAACTCGGGCGGCATCATGTCCTTGAATTCTTCTAGGACATGCTCAATACACCTCGGGAGGTTTTTAGTTGGCGAGGCTACTGCTTCTTCTTCCAAAGCAACTAGATACGTGGGCTGCTTCTTCTTTATGCCTTTGGAGAGTTGCATGGCCGAAATCTGTTTCTCTCGGAGTTGAGTTTCCCGTTCTAGAGGTACTAGTCGGGTGTTACCTTCTTCCAAGATGCACATCGTGTTGGCAAAGGGGATTGGCACGGCCTTAACCTTGTCCATGAATTCCATACCCAAGACAATTGGATAGTCATCCATGGTGACAATGGAGAAGTCTACGAGGCCGTTCCAATCGCCCAGGCTTACCTTGACATCGCGAGCAACTCCAAAGGTAGCCCTCGGTTCTGAATTGACTGCCTTAAGCCAACCACGTTCTCCTTGGTAGTGAATGCCCAACTTTTTAGCCTCTTCCACTCTAAGGAAGTTATTGGAAGCTCCCGTGTCCACAAGTGCTTTGACGGTATGTCCTCCAATCTCGGTTTCCACAAATAACCGTCCCTTCCTTCCGGACTTGGGCATCTCCACCTTTGCCTTAATTGCATTGAGGAGTTGTAGGGATCCTACTTTCTCCTCTTCTCGTTCCCGTTCCTCCCTTTCCTCGATCAATGCTGAAAGTTTAGCCTTCTTTGGGCAATCCCTGGCTTTATGTGGTCCTTCACAAAAGAAGCATTTAAGTGATGGCCTTTCTCCAGCTTTGTACTCCTTGGGAACCTTTGACTTGTCCGTGGTCTCCCTGCCTCGGTGATGCTCTCCCCCACTTTTTCCCTTACCGCCCTTATCTTTCAGCTTTGGCTTCTCGGGTTTCTTGAACTCAATAAGGGACTCGGCAATGGAGATAGCGGTGGTCAAGTCTTGAGCACCACGTCTCTGGATCTCAAGTTTAGCCCACTGTTGCAGTCCATCCATAAAGGCAAAGAAAGCTTCTTTATCAGGATAGTCAGGGATCTCAAGCAGTACCTCGGTGAATTCCTTCACATACTCGCGAATGCTTCCCTTGTGTTGAAGACGCCTTAGCCTACCCCTGGCCTCTTCTTCCACATTGCTAGGATAAAATTGCTTCTTGAGCTCACCCTTGAATTCAGCCCAAGTGTCTATGGTGCAAGTGCCTTTCTCTATGTCCCCTTGTCTCCTCCTCCACCATACCATAGCGGTGTCCTCGAGGTAGAGACATGCCATGCTAACCTTAAGTGCATCGTCGGTAACGACGTTCGCTCGGAAGTATTGCTCCATACTCCATAGAAAATTATCTAGTTCCTTCGCATTTCTTGTCCCTTTGAAAGCCTTAGGTCGTGGAACATCTACTTTAGAGGATGTAGTCCTTACCTCGGACGTTGACGGACTTTCTTGTGCAAGAGCCTTCTTGCACAAGATGAGCTCCTCTTCGGCACTCTCCAACTTACGCGAGACCCTCGCGAGTTCTCCACGAATCGAAGAAACCTCATCCCTGTGAGACTCTTCCATGGCCTTCATCCTGTCGAGACATTGGGCGAGGACTTTGTTCATGGCGGCTTGCATCTCCTCACGGAACTCGTCCATGCTTTGCCCCATCTCCTCGAACTTCTCCTCCCCGTCGGCTATTGCAAGCTCCACCTTGGCTAGCCGTGTCTCAAAACCCTCCATGGTTTCCCTTGAACTAGATCTCTGGGACTTAGATTTCTTCTTCACTCCCTCGGACATATTGATAGTCTCGCTTCCGCCTTCCATCTACCTCTATGTTCCAACGATCTTCTAACCTTGGCTCTGATACCAACTGTCACGGACTTGGTCGCAATTCCAACGAACCGTGCGGCCTAGCAAACTTCTTGCCTTAAGTTGCTAGTCAGCCTACTCACGAAGGAACAAGAGACTCAAAGAAAGAACTTTGTATTGATCTCTCAAAGTACTTACACACTCTCACTTTCTTGAGTGTGTCAAATGAATGAGGGGGAGGGGGTATTTATAGTTCTCCACCTCCTCAATGGACGGCTAAGATCTACTTGATCCGACGGTTACAATGTCGTATCTAGAATGCTCTACAAAAATATCTAGATATTTACAAGGGGTTAGGTGTCTCCACAAGTATCTATAGTGTTCTGGAACTTTCCAAGCTTCCCCAACAAGCTCCACACATTTCTAGAGAGTTCCAGACTTACCCAAGACTTTTGTGGACACCTTTGGACAATTCTGGGTCGCGAGCCTTTGTGTATCTTGGGCAAAACATGAGCGGTGCGTTACAACATGTACGTACATAAAGGGTGGTGTTATAGTCCCATCACCGTAAAGATTTTTTTTTTTTTGTTTAAATTTGTTTTTAATGCTGGTAAAAAAAATGTTTTTAATGGCTTATGCTGTGATCTTTATGGCCTAAAGGAGCTTTCTGTTCAATTATAGAATATTTTATTAATTATTTTTATTTTGAAAAGATTATTTTTTGAGTCTTTTTTTTTTAACTCAATTGTAATATAGTCTTAAAGTGACCCAATACAACTTCTTCTTTTTTGCCAACGACCCAATACAATTAAGTTCCTATAAGTTTAACCATTTAAAATTTTAGTCTCTAAATTTTATAAAATATTTTATATTATTTTTTTAAAATACAGGAACTAACTTTTAAATGGCTGAGTCAAAGATTAAAGATTAAATTACAATTGAATTAGAACTATAATAATTAAATTGTATTGAATAACAAAAAAATCATACTTTTATAGGAAGTAAATCTTAAACTACCTTAAATAATGTAATTTATTATAATTTAAAATCTGATCAAATATTTTCGTCCATGCACTGTGGGGGGAGAAATTTCTAGTTTAGATATGTTAAACAAGCATTATACCCAAAAACAAGTTAAAAAAAAGAAAGAAAGAAAGAAAGAAAAAGAAACTACTGCTGTGGCGTTTCTGTCTGTTGTTATTTTTGATTTGGCCTGGGCTATTACGTTAATTTATATGAGTGATTTCAGCACTTAAAATTAAAATTAAAATCAAAACCAAAACCAAAATCAAAATCATGATCTACTTGTCACCACAATAGCCTGCAATCGCAAATGCTGAAACTCGAAGACACCCTCCCACCCCGAGCGAACTCTCTGTCCCTTTGTTTTCATTCACCTCCCCAGGCGTTGCGGTTTTCATCGCCTTGGCGTTGGCTGATTTTACCCAATTCTCTTAAATCATCCCGTAGCGCCCGTGTTCCTGTTATTAGGCATGCTACCCTAGTATCTATCGGTTATTTTCTCAATTTTTGAGGTACAAATTTACATTTTTCTTCTACGTTGGATTTATCCTCTAACTTTGACTGCGTTTCTCGTGCAATTTCGACAAGTACGGTGAAATCTTAGTTCACATTGCAAACTTAACTGGATTTTGCATTTGATATTGATATTGATATTGATCTGTTCAATACTTCCTTAGCTTGTTGTGCGAACATGTAATATTTCGATGTATTTATTCTTTTCCTTCTATAATGGAACCTTAGTATCGTGGCCAATTCTTTCGATGCTTGTTTATCTAATTACCTCTTTTGGCCTTTTTTCTTGGATAAAACTGTTTTGGTAATTTTTAGTTAGGCTTTATGCTGGATTGGTCTTTCATATTTCTGAAACTTGGCTAAACGTTAGAAAAGTATTGAAGTTATCCTGAGCTTCATAATGATCTAGACTCACTTTTAAGACCGTATAGTAGCTTAAAAAGGGGCATCTGTATGCTTGGGATGCCTATCTGAGTTAAAGTTACCATGCTTTATTTCTTTGACAGCGACCCTAGGCTTTGTGTTGATTGTCTGGTTTGTCATCAAATATCTGAATTAGGTCGACAAATTTGAAGTTTGATCTTTTTAGGTTGCATTGCCTGTTGTCATTGGTAGCGACTAATTATTATGTATTAAAATAAGATTTTGGCAGATGAGTGCTCTCAATGAAGACAAAATCAAAAATGAATGTTGATGTTCTATTCTATTCTAAATTCTAATCCGTAGCAATAGAAGTTTATATCTGTATATGTCATTATACCTCATACTTTGACTTTACAGGAGATTATCCTTTATTTTCTCCGTTTATTGATCTGTTAGGCGTTGGCATTCAGGAGAACGTAAATTCTGTGGCATGGTAATAAAAAAAGACAAGTCTGATGATTTGAATGTTGGTCATTCCATTCACTGAAATCTTCAGCTTTCTGCAATTCATCAAGTTGCTCCTACAAAGGAGTTTTTGTTGGTTAGTTGTCATTAGCTTGTCTCAAAATGATATATGATGATCATTTTTATCAGAAAAATTCTTTAAAAGATGCAGAATAATAAAATTCTTGAACGATACACTCTTTTGTTGTTATAAGTGGTTGTGTTTTTTCAATATTGCAGTCCTTAGTGCTGGCTATGCTGCTTTTCAATTTGTTTGGCTCAGGCCAATGCTCATATCTACAAGAGTTATTCTTACCCCTCAAATATATGACATAGAACATGATAATTTTTATGGTTGGTCTTTCATGTTTAGGCTATGGACCATGGTCTCTGCGGCAGGTTCTATCTGAAAAATAGTCAAATACAACAAAGGATTGGAGAGCTTATCGTATTGATGACTCTGTTCTTTCTTTCTTTCCCCCCCCCCTCTGCTTTAGAGGATATCTTGTCCTCCTCTGTTTTCACAATTTGCATTATTCCTTGGTTTCTTGTAGTATCTCTTCGGTTATGAAAAGTGAAGAGATCAAAGAAAAACAATAAAACATTAAAAAAAGAAGTAAAAAATTGGTTACATGTCACAAAAAAGTGGTCACATCTGAGTGTTTTCTTCATCATTTTTGGGAATTTGCTCTTTTACTTTTGGGTAATTGCGGCCATTTCATGGCCTACATCTGTTTGAGAAGTAAAAGTGCAGTATGATCTAAAGTGTTGAGTAGGCTCTGTACTCCAAATATATGTATATATATATTATTGTCAGGCGAGGGAATATGATGATAAACCTCTAATTAGAAGGAGATCACACGGGTTCCAAAAGAGGGGTTATGGCTATGATGCTAATATTGATTAGCGTACTTGATGATTAACAATTTATACATGCCCTTGCCCTCTCCAGCTCCAGTACTAATGTGGTTGATTAGCCGACCAAATTTTATTCTCATATTTTTATCTTTTATATTTCTTCTTATTTATACAGGATGATGATATTAGTCTTAATTTTTAGTGCTGTGCAAATGTCAACCGAAATTTTAAACCATTGTGCCTTAGATAACTGTTTGTTGTCCATAACTTTTCAGTGTTTAGTAGGCTCTATACTCCAAATGTCTCTGTGTGTGTGTGTGTGTGTGTGATGATAAACCTATAATTATAAGGAGATCACATGGGTTCCAAAAGAAGGATTATGGCCATGATGCTAATATTGATTAAGTGTGCTTGATGATTAACAATTTATGTATGCCCTTGCCCTCTCCAGCTCCAATACTACAAGATCAGATATAAAGTTGATTAGTCAACCACATTTTATTCTCAAATTTTTATCTTTTATATTTCTTCTTATGTATACAGGATGATAATATTAATCTTAATCTTTACTACTGTGCAAATGTTAGCTGAAATTTTAAACCATTTTGTCTAAGATAATTGTTTATTGTCCATATTCATGTGAGATTTAACAAAGTTTCACATTGGCTGTCAAGACCCTCCTCCTTTATCCGGGTTTGCAGCCAACTGTAAAACATAGGTTTGGCATCTTTTGGTTAATAATATATCCAAAGAATTATTGATAGAGCACGATAGCATTGTACAATCTATAATCCAACCTTAGTAGGATAACGCTTGCTGCTGCTATTGCTGTTGTCTTCAATAACTGATACAAAGTTGCTGAAAACTTCTTATTCAGAATTCTTTCTTAACAAGTAAAATTTTACAGTGAGGGCATCCTTCATGTTTTTCTTTCCACACACCAACCCTAGGCGGTAAAGTACCAAAAAGAACTCATGGGATCAACATGCAATCACTCTTTCATCATCTTTATTCTAGAGAGAATAGGGATGAAGATAACTGATATGTAATAAATGAATATGAGCTAGTTTAGGGTTAACAGGTAGTTAGGAGTTTGTTGATTAGTCTCTATAAAAGGCATGAGAAAGTCATTGTAACCAGGCTTATGAGTAATAATAATGGATTGGTTTCTCTCTGTTTCTCTTTTCCTCATCTCTGTTTCAGTGTTTGATCTGTTTCTTTCTTTTTCCCTCTTCATGCTTTTATTGTATAACAATAACGCTGAAGTAAACCATATTTCTTCCTGCTTGAAACATGGCTTTTGAAGAGACTATCTGCCAAACGAATGAAATTTGAAAATATATATACATGAGGCTTCTTTTTTTAAAAAAAAAATTAAGTTAACCCCTTTCATACATTATGGCAAAGTTTAATTGAGGTTTTGGCGTGATTCTCTAATTCCTTTTTCTCATGCTAGGTGACAGTATAGCGGGGGAGGCTAAAGTCCATAATGATTATGTATTGTTGATTGCTTCCACACACTGGCAACTCCTAGGACTGGCTGATGGCTTTATATAATGAAGAAGAGAAAACTGAGGATTACCTTTTCAAGATTGTTTTAATTGGTGACTCAGCTGTTGGGAAATCAAATTTGCTTGCCAGATTTGCCAGGGATGAGTTTTATTCTAGTTCTAAGTCGACTATAGGGGTAGAGTTCCAAACTCAGAAGATGGATATCAATGGAAAGGAAATTAAAGCACAAATTTGGGACACGGCTGGGCAGGAGAGATTCAGAGCTGTCACATCTGCATATTATAGGGGTGCAGTTGGAGCACTTTTGGTGTATGATATTAGCAGGCGCCAAACATTTGATAGCATTGGCAGATGGCTTAATGAACTTCACAGTAAGAATTGCAGTTATCACTTTTGTTTTGACCCTTTTAAGCCTCTCTCACTATTGAGCTGTTATTATTATTTTATTTAGTTATAGTGGAATTGCTGGCACAACTCTAAAACGAGGTTCTGGTGTTACTTTGTCAGTGAGCGAATATAACAAATCCATTTAGCACATCTAACCAATTATTAAAGGATTTTGGGCATAATCAGAAAACTTTAATCAAAACCAAGAGAGTAAAATTATTAGATTCTTAACTTGTCAAAATGTTTATTATTGATACAATATTGTAAACATTTATGCAATTAGGAATTCAAAACTCTCTCTCACTAGTATCAAGACCTTCAATATGCAACTCTATTGTCTTCTCTTTACAACTCCTCAAGTTTGCCAAAAGCTTTCCTCGCAACCTCTTTGATAGCCAAATAGCAAAACTTGATAAGGGAAGCATATAGAAGGGAAGGGAACAACACATTCGCTCACTCACACACACACAACAGCTTAACAATTATACTAACTTGCTAATGGTCTGATTGGTACGATGGAATTGGGGCTATAGAAATAAAAATGGAATTGATTTCCATCATAATGTTTGTCTGGTATAATGGAATTGGAAAATTTCCAATTCCAAGTCCACCAAAATTGGTGGAATTGGCTTCCATCCTCCAACCCTAAGACTTGTAATTCCAACCATGATGCAAGCACGCCCCTCCTTCGGTCTAATAGCCTTCAAGCTTATAACCAGTGACCACCCCCCTTTGATCTGACAGCCTGAAGGTGATAGTGACCTCCTTACTCCCTCGACGTCAACCTGGACTACCCAGTCCCTCCATACCTCGTTGCCGTCATGGTTTGACAATCTTGCAAGGGTGGTTCTTGGAGGAGGTGGTGAAGGCAAGAACAACAGATCTAAGTTATGTAACGTCGTTCTTGGAGGAGATGTTCAAAGTGATGGACAAGAACGAAGACTACCAGCTTGGCCACCAAGATTTGAAGAGTTTTAATAGCATGGTTCTGAGTGGTTGGTGAAGAATCTGGCAATGATGGTTCTGAATAGTTGAGGGAAGTTCGTCAAATTGAATAAAATTTGAAGGGCATTAGGGTGTTCTAATTAAAAATGATGTCTCATTTCCATGACATCCCAAACATACTTTTAAACTCCTTATCCATGTCATCTCCACCTCCGTCCCCATCTCCACCTCCGTTTCCGTCAAAATCAATTCCAACTTACCAAACAGGCCATTAGTTACAACCATTACCTCTAGCTTCATATCCATCATGCTTAGCCTAGATATAAGTGAACAAAAGGGACCAATCGCAAAAGGCTTTGTGCACGCTTAACTGCTAGCTGATCAGGTGAGTTGGGAGAGAGTAGATGAACAACCCTAGCTTGATATTTCACTTTAACCAAGTGGTAGTCAATCACTATATGTTGTCATGAAAGGCAAGATTAGTTACAATTTGTAATGCTGATTGATTGATTATCGTAGTAGTGCGGCCCAAGGTGAGAGCAAGGGACATATGTAAATCAGCAAGAAGATGGGCCAAGAACTGTATCTCACAACCTTTGGGTGTTAATGGGTTGTGCTCAGCTTCTGAAGAAGATCTTGAGACAGTAGACTGTTTCTGTGGCTTTCATGATATGAGTACTTGATGCAAAATAAAAAATAAAAAACACAAAACCCGTAGCTCACCTCCTGAAATCAATGCAAGTTCCCCAGTTAGGGTCACTGAGTCAGACTTTGAGGGAAAATGCAAAACCCTTTTCCTGCGGATCCCTTGACGCATCTGAGAATTTGACGAGGTGTTTGTTGGTTCAAGGGAATGAAAGGGAACTTCGAGCATGGATATCAATCATACTCAACATGGATGCGAGGGAAAGGGGCCAATTGCCAAAGGTTTGGTATTTATATGTGCCAGATGATCACGAGTTGTGAGGAAGCAGATATACAACCTTAGCTTGCAACTTCTCTCTAACCAAGTCGCATTTATTTTCTACATGCTTTTTCCTTTCATGAAAACTTGGACTGGCTGCTATTTGTTGTGCTGATCGATAATCACAGTAGAGAAGTGCAGGATGTAAATTAGTGAGAGCAACCACGGTATCTCACAAGTTGTAGATGCGAATGCCTTATACTCATTTTCATAGAAAGATCTTGAGAGTGGAGACTGCTTTTTTTTCACGTCTTTTATAGATGGGGTTGGGGGAGAAGGAATAGAAATTCACTTCTTCACTACAAAACTACAAAAGCCATCCATATATAGCCACAGTCACCATCCTATGTCGCTAATTGCTCCAACTTTGCGTCCGCGTTGATTGTCTCCTAATCGGTTTATGTTTTCCCATGCATATTTATAAACCTTGTAATACAATGGTGTTGCACTACCTCATGTTGTTAAAGCTAGTTGGAGTTGGGTTTGGTCATAAATATAAAATCTCAGTCAACTTTGTCTCCCAAATCTACAATGTTTTTTTTTCTAAAATATCTCTATTAATTATAAAGAGTTGCCACCAAGGAATAATTCCAATGCGCGTGATTATAGAGAATAATTTAGAAAAGTCAACACATATTTATGAATTAATTAACTTAACTAATTCTATAATCTTCTTACATTAGTTGTTTGGTTCTTATATTCAAGACCCGAGGTAGTATTAATTATGAAATAGGTGTCTGATCCTTTGTTATTGGCTCATTATGGGTCAGTTGTTTGCTCTTTTTCTGGCTTCAAAAAGATTTACTCAGTGTTTGATTGTTAGATGTGATGAAGAGGATTAAGTGGGCTTTTCTATTACTTAACAGCTCATTCTGATATGAATGTTGTCACGATACTTGTTGGGAACAAGTCAGATCTCAAGGATGCCAGGGAGGTGTCTACTGCTGAAGGCAAGGCCTTAGCTGAGGCGGAGGGTTTGTTCTTCATGGAGACATCAGCCCTTGATTCATCGAACGTAGCTGCTGCTTTCCAGACAGTTGTGAAGGAGATATACAACATTTTGAGTCGGAAGGTTATGAAATCTCAAGAGCTGCAGAAACAAGATGCTGCCGCTATTGGGAATGGAAAGACTGTTGTTCTCCAAGGGGAAGAGAACTCGGAAGCAGTTGTGGAGTCAAAGAAGGGTTGTTGCTCGTCATAAGGTTTGATTTCATGGAAGGCTCAAGACTCCTCTTCCTTTTCCCCCATTTTTAATTGATATGATTATTCAACGAACGATTAATATGCAATATTAGTACTGAAGACCGAGAGATTCAGAATAGAAATTGTAAATGGCGTGAAGGACAGTTACAGAAATGATAAGACTTGAGAGATTTTGATTTTGATCTTTTTATAAACAAAAAAGATAAATCCGATGTTTGAATTTTGACAACATTCTTTTATGTTGCTTGCTGGGGTTTCAAAATGTTTCAGAGGCATTTTGAAAAGTATTCTAATTGAGGACATTAGTCTAATTTTAATCATTTTATCAGATTAAGTGCACAATTTTTTAGTACTTATCTAGATTAGTAGTAAACGACTATGATTTTAGACAATTATGATTTTTATAAGTAACATTAGTTTTAAGTAACATTGGTTAATTGTGATTTTTATTTGGGTCTTTTTTTTTATTTTACTGATTTTGGGAAATTTGATTGTATTTGGATTTCATTTATTAAAGTTACTTATACATGTGTAAGTACCGAAGATGACATGAGTTTGATAAATTGGTTAACATTTACAAAATTGTATTTAATTATTATTATTGTAAATATAATTTAAGATTTATCTGGATTTTTCAACCCTAGTTACTTATGCTTAAATGTGTGGTATGAACTGAAATGATTTTTAGAAAAAATGGTCAGAGGGAATTAATGGATTTCATTATTACTTATTTAAATTCAAACCATTTTATCTCTTCTGTGACATAACTGATATTAATAGAACTGAAAATAATAAGTATTAAACTAAAAATGACAAGTTTCATAATTTTTTGGTTACAGAATTTTCAAAATATTAGTTCAGGCCTCGCCTCCTTTCTTGTTATTTAGGATTTTTTTTATGACAGATTTTTCCAAAAATATTTGGGGAAAAAGACCTAGGATTGTCCCGCACGAAAGAAAATGCAGAAAACACAAGCTAAAATGTTGAACATGAAAGACTGGTGGGAGATTTCGTTAAAGCATGCAATTGATCTTTCACGCTATGCATTTTGGCTTGTAATTTTAAATTTCATTTTTCAAATATCCTTTTATCAACCGCTGGTAAATTAAGATTGGACGTGACGCTCCGTAGCGGAGAAGATTGAGGACATCCGCCTAACTATTCATTTCTTTTCCTTTCCCTTACAATCACCTTTATAATTTCGTAGTCTTGCTGCTTCGGAATAGTTAGAACTCGGAAGGAAAAAAAACGCAAACAGATTTTTGGAGCCAAAACTTGCTGATATGAAAGTAGACATAAAGACGTTCTAGTTAGCACTTAGCATGACATCTATTTAAAAAAAAATTAAAACCATTTAAAGTAATTCAAACATGTTAAAAAATTTACGAAAACGCTGATGTAAAATGTTGGCTATATGAGTTTTAGACTCATGAAAATTAATGAAAGAAATTAAATAAAAGCGCTTAGAACATATTGATTGGAATCTACCTATTGATAAGGTATATATATGTAAACAGTTATGTAATGTAATGAAATTGTTCAATTCATACAGCCAATCTCATTTTATGAGTTAGATAAAACTTCTTGTTGAAAAATCTTTACCCAACTCTACTCCAAACACATTAGTTTTGGTAACCTCCAAATCATGGTTTCAGAAGCACTTTTTCGCAAAACGAGGTAAACTCCTCCACATATTTACTTCATAAATCGTAAAAGCACTTCTAAAATCATGGTTTGATTTCTATGCAAACACCTATCAAGTAAACACAACCACAGTATTTTCAACGGATGTTTTCTAGCTGAATTATCTTTGAGTTTAGGATTATAACAGGCGTACCCTAAATGCTATGAAAATTTGGTACTCCCTCCGTCTCTTATTATAAGATCCAATTTTTTAAATGAATCTGTTTTTTTTTTTATAAAATCCTCTTTAAGTTTGGCTATATTATCTATTTTATCCCTAATTTAATACATCTGATACATTCTCTTTCTTTATTTATCTCACTATTACTCTTTCATATTTACTCATTTATATATAGAGGTATATTTAGGGAAAAAAATTGCATTTGTTAAATATTAATTATTTTCAACTAATTTTAATTATTTTCTTAAACTGTATAATTTAATTAAAAAGATCTTATAATAAAAAAGGAAGGGAGCATCAAATACATGGAATCAAACAGCGGCACGCAGGACAGCTCAGCGAAAAATATAACATCTTCCACGGAAAGAGAAGCAGTGAAATGTCCTGTTTAATTTTTCGGCTTATCGACGACCATGAGATCATTAGATCAGATTGGTCCCAATACTCTCAAATTTAATAATTAATAATGTCAAATCATGGCTTCTCTGTTCAGTCCAAAATAAATCATGGCTTCTCTGCATCTCTTTAAGGAAGGAAGGAAGAGAAGAGAAGAAACAGTAAATCATTCATGGGCAACACGAATGATTTGCTTACCAACATTCTTGCCAGAAAAAAGTCCAGCAAGAGCAGCAGGAGCACTAGCCAGACCTTCACTTACGTCTTCAACGTACACAATCTTGCCCTGTTTGTAGTAACCTATAACATGTTCCAAAAAGCGTGGGTACAAGTGCAAGTAATCACTTTGCAGAAAACCCTGCATCCTGATGCGCCTCGAGATGAGATTGAACAAACTGTGAATCCCCTTGGGATTAGAGAGGCTCTGCTGAGACACCATCCCACAAACGGCAATCCTACCGTGAATTCTCATGTTAACGAGAGCTGCATCGAGCATTTCGCCGCCGACATTATCAAAGTAGATATCAATGCCTTGTGGGAAATACCTGCGTCAGGCGGGGAAGGAAAAGATGATGGAGAGTCGTTAAAATATAGGGCGGTAAAAGTTGCTTGCATAAGGAACATTATTTCTTTTTTATTGTACGACCATATAATATATGTGGGTAGCCAAGAATTTTTCTTCATCATTTTTTAACTCACCTTTTTAAAGATGCGTTCAAGTCTTGTTCTTCTTTGTAGTTAAATGCTTCATCGAATCCAAGTTTATTTTTCAGAAGATCGACCTAATAAGACATTAAACGAAAAAAATATATTATTCTGAACCTGATGGGGGGAAGTGGTATCTATTCAAAGAATAATTAGCAAAACTAACTTTTTGGTTTGAGCCCGCACTTCCAACGACATAGCATCCATGCAACTTAGCAAGTTGGCCAACAAGTTGACCGACTGCACCTGAAGCCGCTGATACAAAAACATGCTCTCCTCTGCTGGGGGAGCAGACCTCATAGAATCCTGCGTAAGCAGTGAATCCTGGCATACCTACATAATTGAAAAGATGAAATCGTGGGTACACCAGTTACCAAAACTTCTCAACTGGATGACATGATGGTGACATCCAAGGGGAATTATAGAACAAGGACAGATGATGAGTCTACTTCACTGAAAAAATCAGCAAGAAAAAAGGGGATGCTCAAGGTCTTAAAAATGCTACCATAAAATAGAAAATTGCACCCATAAGCAAATCTCAATCAATCAACCCGTATTCCTCCAGTCCAATAAAAATCAACTAGCATTCCTTAAAAATAATAGAAATGAAAAAGGAAAAGAAAGAATGCGCAAAGTTAAATTGTTTAGCCCGACAAATCAGAGACTTGAAAAATAGAAGGCTTCAAAACTCTGAGAACTTGGATATTAACTTAGGCTCGTCTTGACCAACGCCAAAAATTCATTCTTGGATGGCCAATTAAAATTTATTTTAAAGGTGAAAAGACAGACTGCAGCAAGATATCATTAATTGACTCAGTGGTTTAAAAGAATGAAGCAAGACTAAAGTAGAGTACATGTGCATATGCACACTATGTATGAGAGGTAGGAAAATTATACATCCAAAGTTTTGCAAAAGAATTCAAAACGATTATAAGACAGTAATTTGTATGTTAAGCCCGACGAATGCCATACCAAGAAGACCCACATGGTACGAGAGAGGAATATCATCTAGCTGAATTGTTCTCAACTGCTCAGTCTTTTTTATCAAACTGTACTCTTCCCAGCCGGTCATCCCCGAAATCAAATCACCAGGCTTGAAATTTGGATCATCGGAATGTACAACTTTAGATACACCAAATCCTTCAACGGCCTTCAACAAAATAAATTAACGGAGAAATTACCAGACAAAAATTCCCCACATAGAAAAGCTATATTATAAGCAATTATAGCATAGCCGACAACTCTAAGCAGACTGCTGCTGAAGGTCCAAAGACAACGATAAAGAAATTTATCATTGGAAACTTCCAAGGAGAGAGTAAGAATATCCTAGGCAACTTTTGTTTGTCCTCAAAATTTCATTACTACGTATCCTTTTCTTTCTTTCTTTCCTATTCCATGAAGAAATAACTCCTGACCCCTTGAAAGATACAGCATTTCTCAATCAAATTATTCTGCATGTAATTTTCTAAAGCAAATGCTATATTTAGTTTGGCGTTGCGTACCGCACATGCTATAGGCTTAACATCCAACAGTGTGGACTGTGGAGGAATGCAAAAGCATTCCAGAATTCAATTGAAACCTTGTTATGAGTACCACATTAAGAAATCTCACAAGTGTTGTAGGGTTCAGAAGTTCAAGGGGTTCTCCCTCCTAATAAACTAATCTTTTGAGATGAGTTCTCCTCTTGGATTTATGCTCATCACATTGGTGCTTTTATTGAGAGTCGACCAACCGGAAAAGGCTACCTGTGAAGAATTCTAATGGTAAGAAGACCGAGTGAAGTGCCGTAGAGCAGATCAATGGGGACGTCAGCTCTTGAGAGGGATGTTCTGTTATGAGTCCTACATCGAGGAATCTCACAAATGTTGTGAAGTTTATAAGTTCAACAAGCTCTCCCTCCTAATAAGCTAATCTTTTGGGATGGGCTTTCCTCTTGGATTTGTGCTCATCACATTTTTGTTATAAATTCCACATTGAGGAATCTCACAAATGCTATTGAGTTTACAAGTTTAAAGGATTTTCCTTCTTAATAGACTAGTCTTTTAAGATGGGCTCTTCTCTTTGGTTTATACACATCACATTGGTGCTTTTATTGAGAGTCTGCCAAACCAAAAAGAGCTATCTGAAGAGAGTTCTGACCAATAAGAAGACTAAGTGAAGTGCCGTAGAGTAGAGCCTTCGGGACGTCGGCTGTCGAAAGGGGTACTCTGTTATGAGTCTCACATAATGTGATGAGCCGACGTCCCCAGCGGCTCCACTCTACAACACTTCACTCAGTCTTCTTACTGGTCAGAACCCTCCATGGGCAGCCCTTTCTGGTTGACCAACTCTCAATGAAAAATACTAATGTGATGAGTAAAAGTCTAAGAGGAGAGTCCATCCCAAAAAACTAGTCAATTATTAGGAGGGAGACTCCTTGAGCTTACAAACTCCACAACATTTGTGAAATTGAAGGACAACCCTTTGAACTTATAAAACTTACAATACTTGTAAGATTTCCAATGTATACTCATAACAAAACCTTATTGGAGTATAAGGAAGGAATTGAGAGCTGCGACGTATTTTTCAAGGACCAGACAAACAAGCACTTTGATTCTCTGCCAACTCATCGCAGTATGCGATGCACCGATAAGCAGAGGAGACAAGTTGTCCCGAACAAACAATGGGTTTTCTATTTTTCCCAACTTGCTAATACGGTGCCGGAATTATTGATGAGTTTGCAATTAGTTTTCCAAAACTGAAAACTCATGCATGGAGTGGGAGAATTGAGACGCATAACTATTGGAGACGTCCTTCAAAGAATATATCATATGCCGCCCGCCCGATATATGTCGGTTTTCGAGCAATAACTGAACTCCCAGAAATTAAAGGCAGAGAGAACAGTAAAGTGGATTAAGCAAACAGAAGAGCATCGAGAGAAATTGTAGGAAGAAAGACATACCTGACCAGGAACAAAGGGTGGAATATAAGATTCGTGGAAATCACGCATGCGACCCCGCATATAAGGGTCGCAAGAGAGGTAGAGATTCTTAACGAGAAGAGCTCCTGATCCTGAGGGAGCCCTCAGCTCGATTTTTGAAACTTTGAGTTCGAGATCAGTATCCTGAGGAGCTCGATCTATAAAATTTTTAAATATGACCTGCCTGTTCTCTATGTTCGCCATAATGGGCGAGAATGATCACACAAATTAAAATGATGAAAAGAAAACAAGTAAGCGAAAAGAATTAGTTCAGTGCACCCTGTACATGCCCTGCGACTGAGAAACAGGGAGCTGGATAAAATGGGTTACATGCGGATTCAGCGAGCAGCCGCTAGAAGCTGAAGATCTTAGGGCACTGGGTTTGGTGTACCTAACCTACTCCCCGCGAAAGGATGCTGTCACATGGGCGTGGGCAAACCGGCAGGAGAGTATAACCAACGGTTTAATTTCCCTGTGTTGTCAACGGTTTAATTTCTCTGTGGTCACAGGCTTGAGTCCTCGCTTTTTAGGGGGTGTTTGGGTTTTGAAGGGAAAACCATGGTTTGAAAGAAAAACATCCAAACACTATAAAGGTATTTGGGTATGAACAAAATCATAATTTTAGAAGTGTTTTTATGGTATACGAAGTAAATATGTGGAGGAGTTTATCTCAATTTACAGAAAAATACTTCTGAAAAGTGATTATGAGGTGTTCCAAACACCCCCTATATATTTTTTCCAAATCACTTTTCAATTTGAAACCATGGTTTGTATAAAAGTAACCAAACACCATAATTTTTTCCAAAATCACTTTTCATTTGGAAACCATGGTTTTAGGTATGAAACCATGGTTTTTTATAAAGTGAATTTTTTTTTGCTTTTGAAGGTATAAAACCATGGATTGAGATATAAATATATATACACATATCAATTACTACATTTGATCCTTAATGTAAGAGTTAGAAAACTAATTTGTAAATATTAAGAAAATTAGTTAAATTATTTATTTATAATAAATATGTGTTGCATTCTCTAAAATACCTATTAACGATGTGCATTAGGATTATTATTTGATGTAACATTTAACATGTGCAAACTAACATGAGGACTACTTTGAAAAAAATGGATAAATGTATGAGACAAGATAGATTGATATCTTATATTCAAAATCAAATAGAATACCCAATTAGCTCTTATACTAAAGATCGGAGATAATATTAATTATATTTTTTCATATATAATTTATTATTTAAAAATTTATTATTTCAAACAATATAAATTAAAATCCATCATTTATCTAATTATCATATTAGCTCATGTCCTTTTTAGTAATTTGTATATGAAAAAAAGATTCTGATAACGTCACTTCATCAAAATCACTTTTTTTTCAAAATCTATTCACAGAATATATTCTCCCAAAAAGCTATTCTCCAGAAACTATTTTTTTTTTATCTAAACCAAAAATTATTCTTGAAACCATAGTTTGAGTTTATCCAAACACCCTCTCAGTCAACAATCTAGCATCAGCTTTTCTTCATCTTTTATCCAATTGCCAAATGCGTTGTTATCGACCTTTATCATCTCGTAACCGAACAAGGTGTTCGAATGCTCGTTCTCATGCTTTTTTTAATTTTGACCAACCTTCTGAGACCTTTACCTTTGAATTACTATACCTCCGGTGACTAATTTAAAAAGATTAAAAAAACAAATTAAATTAATTATTAGTAATAAATAAGTGTTATTTTTTCTAAAATATTTTTGCTAATCAAATATATTGGATAGAACTATAATTATTAGAAGGATTATCTTTAAAAAAAAAATAGATATGAGAGACAAAGTGGATTGGAGTCTTATATTTAAAACCAAAATAAAAATCAAACAAGATCTTATATTAAAAAACAAAGGTAATATTATTTTGTCTGTTTCTAAATATAATTCATAATAATGAAAAACACATAAATTAAAGAGGTATTGATAATTAACTCTTTTTTTTAATTTTTACCCTCCATTTAGGCTTTGTCTGGTAGGAGAGGGGGTGAATTAAAGGAAGGGGAAGGGAAAAGAGTGGAGGTTATGAGTTTTGTTTGGTTAGAGGAGAAGAGACTGGAGGGGAGATTTTTTGTTGGTTTAGAAAGAAAAGGGAGGAGAGCTAATTTTAAGTTGACAAATATATTTTTATTACGATATTTATATCATGATTATTATTTTCTAATTTGTGAATATAAAAAAAATACCTTAAGACATAACAAATAGATTATAAAATAATCATGTATCAAAATAAATGTCAATAAAAAAATATTATAATCTTTAGCATATTATATAAATTATAAATAAATTTATGCTATAAGTTTTAAACTATCCCATTCTTAATTATATAATGTGTGCAACCTCACATGCTTAAAATAAAATTGAATTAAAATAGGTATATATGGACACATATCAATAAATTTGGTGATTGATAATATCATTTTAATATATCTTAACGATTTCAACTCATATAAACCAATAAAGAATAGTTTTATACAGAATAAATGAATAAAAAATACTGATAATAATGATAAGATGAATGAGGTGGGGGATCAAGTAAGGAAAAAAGATGGAAAAGATTAATGACAAAGAGCAGGGGGAATGATGAAATTAGAGAAAGAAAATATGCACACAACAAAAAGAATCTTTGAGAAGTAAAAAAAGAAAAAAAGAAAAAAAATCCTTAGAAGAATAATAGGGGCTAAAAAAAGTTTAAAAAAAAAAAGTGTTTACTAAGAAGAAACTTGGAATATTCAAAAACTAACATAAGTAATTTAGTTAGAATGAGACATAATATTTCGTTCCTTTCCAAAAAATCCTAAATTTGAAGAGGAGCAGAAGGAGGGGAGGAGAGCACTAAGAGATAAAAAAAAAAAAAATTTCCTCCCCTCCCCTCCATTTTTCTAAACCAAACACAATTTCTACTCCCCTCCTCCCAAAAACCTTCCAACCAAACAAAGCCTTAGCGTCACTATTATTTTTGAAACAATCAATTATTATACCTAAAGTATTTTTAAAAGCAAGTATTAATTATATCCCTATTAAAATATATATTTAGGGACATAATGAAGGTGAAAATTAAGATTTATTCATGAAGTTAGTACTCCTCCGGTCCTTATTATAAGACCCAATTTGACTTTTTATTTGGTCCTAATTATAAGACCCAATTCATTTTGTCTCTTATGTTTATGCATTTTTTTTAAAATAATCCTTCTAATAATGATAGTTTTAGCCAATATACTTAATTAGCAAGGATATTTTAGGAATGACAACACTTATTTATTATAAATAACCAACTTAACTTACTTCCTTAATCTCCTCAAATAAGTCAATTGGGTCTTATAATTAGGACCGGAGGAGTATTATCTTTTTGGGGAGGGGTAGCCTTTAGTTTTCAGTTGAATATGCACAAAAACCAAAGTATTTTTTCTTGAACAATCAAAACAAATCAAGCAGTCCAAGGCGAACCTTATCAGTTTCACAGTATCATGCAAAATATATTAAGCATTAAAAAATCACTAAAAAAAAAAAAAAGGAGGGTCCACGCTTGCGTTCAGCTATAGAAATGAGTTTTCATATTTATAGCTTTGGTCAGAGCATTTGGGATCTCAGCTCAATCAGCTGTGCTTAGAGAATTTAGGTGTATCTGGATTCTGGAACTGAAGTTGTGATTTGAAATCAATGGCTAAATCAAAGTCTGCAGTTGCAGGGAGGAGAGCACCAAGTTGGCATTCTCCATTTACGACAAGTCATCCAATTTTCCTAAATAAATCCCTTGAAGCCTCCGCAGGATTCCCTCGCTCCACTACGTTACCAGCGAAGGGGCTTATTGAACCCAGTCCCTTGCTGCCCCATTAGAAACTAATGCCCTGTTTGGTTGCAAGGAATTGAACTCTAAGAATTGAAAGTGAAACCGGAACTAAATATTTTGAGCGTTTGGTGGCTTGAAAATCAGCTCCCCATGGAACCGAGTTCCAGTTCCTGAGAATTGGAGATTGACATTTTAGCCCTTCGAATCCGGCCACCATCCTCCATCCCCCACCGGTCCATCTCCAGCAATGATGGCAACAGTCCACCTCCGTGACGGTGACGGCGGCGGCGGCGGTCCACCTCCAATGACGGCGACGACCTTCTCCACAATGACGGTGATGGCCTTCTCCGCAGCGATGACGACAAAGGAGACTCAAATCTGCCTCTATTTGCACAACAATGGCAGCGACCTCTGCCGTTAGATCCCCACGCACGACGCAAGCTCCTCTAGTTTAATGGTTATCCTCTACCTTCCAAACGATTCCTTCACTGTTTTGAAGTGCTTGCCTATGGAAGAAACGAAAGGACGCGAATATGCTTTGCAACAGCGGACACATATCACCAACAGAGGCAACTTTCCCGTTCAATCTCAAATTACCGAGAGAAAGCGCACATCACCACATCTAGTAGACCTTAGATTTTCTCTCACCTTCCCATTTGATTATTTAGTTAGTTATTGTGAATTGTGGATTGTATTTTCTAGTGTTCAGTCTCCTTTTGCTTGATTTCCAATGACAGGGAGGGGTCGAAGGTTATTGGGAGCGCCACTGGTTGGGAACGACGGTGGGAATGTTACTGTTCATTAGACGGGTTATTTTCTTTTGAGTCTAATGGGTATTTCAGTCCTGTCATAATATAAATTTATAAATTGCATAAAAATAATACACCAAACACCCTTTAAAACTCACTTTACTTCCATCAAAAACTCTTCCGTCCAACCAAATGGGGATAAGGAAGTTCAAAAAACCATGGAATCGCTGTAAAGCAAAGACCTCATTTAGGAGCGCAATTTATGAAAGGTTTGACTGCGTGGGGTCACCCAAAAAAAAACAAAACAAGAAGCAGCAGGCTATTATGCGTGGATAAAGTGATAAACTACTTTAAAGTAGGATTTCTTGACGTGACTGGGCTTTAAACAACGCGGCCAACATCAACACCGCTGTAGGAATTGTAAAAGTAACATCTGTACGCAACTTGAAATTCGAGGGGCCATTTGATAGTAACCAAATGTATCAAGGGCATGCACCGAATATACCCCGATAAGCATTATGCGGCCTTCTTTCCAAGGAGCAGGCTCAATGAATATGTGTTTCCCTTCTGTGCAGCAGCTTCTACTCGATTCTTGCCAACCTATAAGTCAATTTTATCAGTTAATTTTATGTACCATACAGACACTTTATCCGATGTATACTGAGCAACAGAATGAACCTTAAAAGTCATAGAATAAAGAAAATGCATTTTGAAGAGCTGGCTAATACCTTGTCCATGAGCCAATAGCCAATCGTTGGCATGTACTGAACAAGATACATTACGGCAAGCACAGGCTGCAAAGCAGTTCAGTTTAGCATTTCCATCCAAAGTTTAAAACCAAGTTCTGATTTTCTGTAATTGTGAAGAATAAAGAATAATGTTCCGGTCCAAAAAAGAAGAATAAAGAATAATGTGAAAATAACCACAAAGAGTGCCAAAACATGCTGAAAAAATGCGAATGTATCATGAGAAGTCAAAAGGTAAATAAGTTTTCAGATAGAGCAAATCAGCCAATCTTCTGAATTCAGTCAAGACAAACAAGAAAATTTCATTTTAGTGCAATTTTCAGCAACCTTTGCACTTTACATTGCTGAGTAATATGGAAGACACGTATTTCAATAATTATCTAATTAGTGTCCACTGTTGACGTTAACAATGACAATATTACTTCCTCTTTTCTTTCCATCTACCCAACCTCCTCTCCTCCCTTTCAATGAAACTTATGCAATATGGAAACCCAAGTCCTTGAGTAGTATGAGATATTATATTTGATAGCGTATTCAAGTGGATTGGTGCTCCTACTTTGATAACTCACTTTCGAGAGAGTGCAACCATTGAGAAGTGTGGACGTATAATTCCTATTTATTTGCAATCAATCACAACTAATCTTAATTGGTTACAATCATATCATAAGCAACCATAATCAAGATTTCTCACAGAAAAGACGCATTAGATCTTCTTGAAGAAACTAGCATGGTCAGTAGTAACTTAGCTACGACTCCTATGGAGACTAACTATAAAGTGAGTTTAAGGAGACTAGTCATTATCGATAAGGTATTAGAAGATGACATCTAGTAGTTAAAGGATTGTAGTTAGAGATGCTTCTTGAGGAATTCAGCTTTCCCATTTAAGTTCCTATGAAACCCGATGTGATAACATGGCCACTGTTAGCATTGTAAAGAACTCTGTACATCATAACGGACAAGCAAGTTGAGCTAGACCAGCACTTTATCAAAGTAAAAATTTGAATAATCTACTTCATGTCCCTACTAGATTTCAAGTAGCTAACTTGTTAACCAGAGCCATGTTAAGGTTGACGCTTCAAACTCTAGGCAGCAAGCGGGGATGATCAGCTTTTATTCTCCAGCTTGAGTCAAAGTATCAGTGATCAGATATCACGTGCTGCTCCTCAAGTGTTTAGTTGATATATGTTAACTTAGTTTAGTCTATCTTATTTATATTACTCCTTTACCTGTGGCTTTATCTTGCAATTTAAATTGTTCTGTTTTACTTCCTGATATCTGGGGATATCATGGCTAGTTTTGTCAAATTACAAAGGGCAAGTTAAAACTTGAAACAGAACAACTCAGTTATCTGGAGAATGCCCCACAAGACGCCTATCAAACAGGTTAAGCTCTTAAACATCTGAAGGAGCTTCCTTGAGCAAGATGTTGTTATCTTCAGCATGAGCGTCTTTGGCCCACTTATCTGCACAAGAGTGCCTCCCTATGCGACTGGTGCAGTTCAATATCCCAGTCTTCAAAAATAAGATTCCTAACCTCATGTACCTCATTATTAAGTGGGTGATTATAACCCACATCCCTCATAATAAGATTTAGTGCCTCCATGGAGTCTGTATATGCCACTATGTTCTTGAAATTAATGGATATGATGCCTAGTTGTTTGGCCTAGATATCCAATTTTATCAAGTTAGCCAGAAAGCTTCAGAACTCCGTTCATTCGCCAAAAACTACAAAACAATAATTGTGAGAATTCTCAATTTAACATGGGAATATAACTTAGGGGCACTTAAAAAAAATGCCTTCACACAAGCCGAGTTCCTCTCAAATACTCATCTAGAACTCCGTAAAATCACTTCTAAAAAGGCTAATCCAAACACCCTTTAAAACAGTAATCTAAAAGCACCTCATGAAAAGTGAGAAGAAAAACAGAAGTTTACAGTCATTATACCAGCAGTTTGAAGTGACCTACTAACACCAATGAATATACCTGATATGATATCCAAGCTTCCTTTAAGCCATGGGTTGCAGCAATGATAATGAGTTTCGCACACTTTTCTGATGGCACACGCTTCTGTCTCAAGTAAATTGATAGTTATAACAAGAAGCAAACCAAAATACGAATAAAAGAATATAGTTGAGGGCTTGCTCTCTTGCTTCCCCATGGCAGAGAGCAGAAAGCATGTCTAACCGTAATAAAACAGAAAAGGGGAAAATTTGAGAAGATGTTGTCCATAAATTTAATGCATAAAAACGCTTATAATGAAAGCAACTTTCATCTTTCTAGAATAGCGCGCATCCATAAATTTAAACTAGAAAATCAAAATTATTGACAACTGTCATGTTTTAACTTATTTAGAAATTACTATAAATAGCTACTTGCTTTAATTTAGAAACTACTAAACATGGCTGCACTGTCCACATGGTTGAAAGAAACTAAGGAAAAAACCAGACCCAATTAGAGTCTTTACACAAGCAGAGTATGATGAATCAAGGGAACACACCTCAGATGATCCCTTCGCCTGAGGTTTTGCTACAGACTCGTTGGACGTTTCTATTGGTCCAGGACAGATAACAGTTACTTTGATTCCCTTTTGACAGAGCTGCAAGCATAAAAACTTATTAAGGCATAACCCAGTAAACTAAACTTAGCATTGATAATCGATATCTTTTCCTCCTCCTCTTTGCTTAAGATCTATATCACAGTTACATAGTTTATTGTGTCAGTTACTGGCCTTTCTTTTGGAGACAAAGGAACTATGTGCATACCTCAGAACGCAAGGAATGAAAGTACCCATTCAGAGCATATTTGGAAGCAGAATAAACAGCCTGACCTGGGGCAGGCGTCTTCCCTGCAGCACTGCTTACCTGTGCTCAAACAAAGAACAAAGAGATTGTCGATTGAAAAATGGGAAATAAGAAGAAAGACAATATCACACATTGTCCCACTTTAGGAATGTCATAGTATTGATCCATGTATTTATAACCCTCTTAAAATACCATCACTGTCCAGATTCCATAAGCAATATTAGATATCATCAGAGAATTATCACATACCACCACAAAATGACCTTGCCCCCGCCTCAACATGAATGGTGCCAAGAGCCGTGTGAGAGTAATTGTTCCAAAAACATTGACATCAAACGTTGCCTACTTCGAAGGAAGAAGCAATGCAAAATACAACTACAAATATAAATATAAAATAAAATAAAATAATATAATATATTAAGAGACTTTCAATAAAAAGACAAACAATCTTTCAAATATTGCTTAGACAAATAAGCAGCAGGGACTTAGAATCTCCATTATGAGATACCTTGAGACTTTCCTCAGTTACATCTAAAGCTGATATTTTCTGCAAAACATATTCAGATAAATGAAAATTAAAAAATCGATTGGCAAAGGCAATGTACAGCAGAACAGAGGAACTGAGAATAATAAAAGAACAATAATTTTATCCAAGACAGATGATAAGGGGTAAAATTCCCAAGATTGTCTGACAGCATACATTCTCAAACGAATCCGAATAAACTCATGTGGGTAGTGTAAATATTTGAGTCTATATTTGCATGGTACATAATATTGTCTAGGTTCATGACTTTGTTATACAGCACATGTATCTCCTTTTTATTTTTCCCTAAAAATAAGCGAACAATGTAAGGAGTACAAATACCTCACATCTGATCAACATAGCTTCACATGGTATTAAATATTGCAATGGTTCCTTCTAGCCATGTCTCATTCCAGATGTGCATTCATTTCGTCCCTATCTCATCCTTTTATTGGAAACAATCCTCCACTTTGGTCAAGAGATCCTAATCAGCTAACCATTAGAGTCTAATCACTGAATAGTCTCCCAACACATTACAATGCTTACAAGCTGCCTTCCGCCACATGTTCCATTTTCCCCCATCATTAACTCACAGACAATTGATGCAACCCCGCAACGGATCTCTAGTCTTCGTTGGTCCTTTCATAGCATTCCCCTCTTGGACCTCAAGACCTTGGCTCAGGTACATCATTACAAAAGTCTAGCATGACGTGAGGAAACATTTATTTATAAAAATTGTTAGGAATGGTGTTAATTATACCATCTTAACAATTTTGCATCGCCAAAGTAATTTTCTTATTTGTTGATAATAGATGTATGGGTGTTGATATCTATTAAAGAGACAAATCGTAGAAAATCATTTAAGGCGGTTCAGACATGTACAAAGAAGATTGTTGGAGGGGCTAGTGAGGAGGGTGAAATGGGTAGTTTAAAGTCTTGTGAAGAGAGGTAGAGAAAGACTACAGAGAACACTCAATGAAATCGTTGAACAGAAATCTTTTGGTTAACAATATTTCTTCTGTTCAAACCATTGATCATCACACCATCTCTGCTCCGGATCTCCTTCGTCCTGTCAATCATGAAGCTTAGATGGTAGTGCTTTTGTAGACTTTGTACAGTTTTTTTATTTATATATATTCCTTTTCACTCAAAAATAAATATATATATATATATCCAAAGTTTTGGTTGTTGATGGTGCACAATAGCATCATGCAATCCATGTATTCAACCCTACCTAGTAGGATAAAGCTTCTTATTGTTGAATATTGATTACATGAATGTGAATCAAGATTAGCAAATTATGAGTAATAGTATTTCCATGGACAATGACATGCAGAGAAGAAGACGAATATCTGATAGAATACTTACACCCATTATGACGTACAGCAAGACAAAGAAGAGGAAAAAAGCAGGAGAGAGAGTAGGGATGAATCTGTTATGCAGAGGAAGTAACTTCCATGATGTCCGAAATTCATTTAAATGTTAGTTTTTCTCATGCGTTATGCTGTCAGATGTTAGTTTCTTTTATGTAATGTGCTGACAGTTTGTGGCATGTTGTCTTGAGAATAGGAGTCAGTTATTGCCCGTTAGTTTGATGTCAATATAATATATATGTAGTGGACCGGTTTCCATGAATGCTATGTGAAGTACTATTCAGATCAATTACTAGAGATCCTCCTTTTAACTTTCTTAGTTTATGAGTTTCAGGTTGGCTTATACTCTAACATAGATTTCCCATCATTCAGACCTATTAAACCCATATTCCATCAATATCTAGCGAGAAAGACTAGTAGTGTCCCCCGGTATATAGCATTAGAACTAAACTCCTGAACTGGATAAAACAAATGACACATGCAGGAAACAGTGGAGAAGGATTCAGGAGTGAAGTTAGACAAGCAAAACTTACAGGATCAAGTAAAGAATCTAATCAAGCTATTAACAATGAAGTCACATGCAAGATTCTAAATAAATCAGATAAGATAGATAAAATAAAAACTATAGGCCAAGCTAACAAAAGAAAGCCCAACATAACACTTTTTCTATTTTCACTTCTTTTTACGTTCATATATCAACCATCTAGTTAAACAATATCCAACAACTATCCAATTTTGACTGAATTCTTTATTTGTGATCCTAACCATATAATGAAGCAATCAGTAACTTACAGGACGCTCAAAAGCTGCATTATGAATCATATAGTCAACACCAGAAAGGGGAAACAGTGATTCTGCTTTCTCAACAGCCTTCTTAAGAGAATCCTCACCGGTTGTTAAATCCAGTGGTAAAATCTTGACCTCGTCAGGCGCATGCTTACCTAACCGTAAGCCAGCCGTTTGCATCTATAAGTTTGTTTAAACATAAAATAAGCGCATTACACATTCTTACATACTTCTACATGATAGTGCGCATACCTTTCAGCTGTTGCTTTACTCGCTCCAGTTCAGCTTCATTCCTTGCAGAGATTATTAGCTTGGCCCCCAGTCTTGCAAGTTGTTTAGCTAGAATCTCCCCTTCACACACATTTAAAAAAAAACAGGAACTCAGTTATGCATAGAAAATTAATTCCAAATAAGACTCCAATTAGCTATAGCTTGGAAGCAAAGAAATTATTAATTGGCCAACACATCAATTAGGTGAAGAAAATATCAGAAAAGAATTTCCAACGATCATATAATCAAAATCTACAAAGGAAAATTGCCAACAAAAGTTGATATAGTTGGCAATGATATGGCTCATAGCCCGCAAAGCAGCAAAGGTAGAATTTTATCTCCGACTGCCAACACAAGGACCTCATCTGTAAATCATCTGTAAATAATCTATAAGTATTTTTATAAACACTCTTCGATTCACTTAAACTTTTGTATACTAAAAAAAAATCTTTAAAAAAATTGTATTGAAATAAAACGTCAGGAAAAATTTGAACTCATTACCACAGACAAAAACACAGTCACCTAGAAATCAAAATACCAAAGAAGAAAACACAGTCTTATATGACATTTGAGAAAAAGTTTGTTAAATGAATGGTTATTGCCTCTTGATTAATGAATACCAGAAGGGTTAATAATTTTGGCACCAATCTGCACATAAACTGAATTAATTTGATGTAAACTGCTCGTCACAACTCAGTTAATACAATATACGTTTCCTCATCAAAACTTTACATGGTTATAAAAGCACACGAAGAAATATCACAAATCAACATGCTTGCTTCCATCGTCACAATGACCAACTATAAGAATGACTGCGGATTAGCATCATAGAATTCAAGAATGAGAACTGAAAAGGGGAAATTAAAAGTTGTGATGCAGGAAGACAAATTGAAGGGTCGAGATCAAAGTAGAACAATGGTTAAAAGCCACCAATAATGTATACCAATTCCACGGCTAGCACCAGTAATCCAAACAACCTGAAATCAAACACGGTATAAAATTAAGGCTAAAGTTAGTCATAAACGATGATTTTTTGTAATAATTATAGTTGTTTTAAAAATTAAAATTAATATATTAACATTTAGTAATGTTTGATTAACATTTCATAGTTTAATATCATCATTTTTTTGTTAACAACTTTCGGACCAGACTAAAAGTTGAGGGACTAAACCAAAACTTTACATATAAAATTAAAAGAAGTAATTGCATACTTTAGCCTGAAATTAAACAACAAAATGCACTTTTGCCTGACGATGAAAAAGGGGCACATGATTTTATAATTTCATATTGAAGGAATATCTTCGGTGATAAAAGAGACGGAGAACTGGGGAAAGTCCATATCAGACCCCCGAAAGGGTTTGAGGAGCAGAGATGGAATTTGGCAATCCATCCCCATTCCTCCCATTCCGTTATTCTTTAACAATTCAAACAATGACGATTATGAGTTTTTTATTTTTCCCACCTCACTCCATCCCATCCCATCCCATCCTCCCAACAAGCCCAGAGGAAAAATAATTTTTCATCGGATAGAGTTTACTTACCTTATCTTCGATTTCTTCGCGTTTTGCTTGCTTCTTGGACATCAAAGTGAAGTCCCCTGGACGGAAAATAAAGAGAAGGTCAAAGCTAAATCGATACAGAAAATTAGAAACAAATAAAAAGCCTTGAATATGGTACCATAAGCGGTGGCGAATTTGTATGACAGAAAAAGGAAAAGAGAACTGAACAGTAACAATAGCGTCATCATGTTAGTCATTGGGAGCGCGGTGGAGAAGTCAGTGGAACGAAGAACGTTTCGAGGCTATGACCGAATAATACGAAGCTAAGCGTGCCTTTCGGGCAAACAGATCTGCTCGCGGTCTATCGGGTTTTAATAGCCCAATGGTTCTGCTTTTTATTTTTCCCGAGTGAATATAGCCCAATGATTCTTGACCCAGAAGGTAGGATAATCACACGCATTGTTTTCTAGGTCCACCAGAGGATTGAGTCTGCTAGTGGAGGGATAACGTGATAAATTAATATTCAAATTTTACCAACAAGAGTTAGGTCTAGAAGAAGAGACTAGTCCCTCACAACGTAACAAACTAAGGTTTGAATTCTCAAGGGGAAAGGTGTACATATTTAGTACTCGAATAGGATTGCCTCCAATAAGAGGATGCTATGCTTTAGCCAAAAAAAAAATATTCAAATTCTCATTCAAAAAAAGTGTCACATTTAGCGTGTATTGAACAGAATTGATTTTAATAAAAGAATGCTTGTTTAGCAAAAGAAAGAAGTCTCTCCCCGCCCTCACTTTCAAAAGCAGATCATTTCCATGGGAATGAAAGTTTTAGAAAGAATACTATAAGCCCTAAAATAATGATTATAAAAAAAAAACTTAGAACAAGTAGTATGCAATCACGTTTTAAAACGAGAATACGTCTAATACTGCTTATTTAATGTAATTTTTTAATAATTACATTTTTACATCCCATAGGGCAAATTAGTGAGAATTTTCAGTGATTCTACTAAAACTGTAAGATTCATATATTGCAAACACTTGTCAATCGTCTTAACCAGAAATTCACCACCACATCATGCCCGGCCATTTTAGCTCACGTGTTAGAAAAAGGCCGCCTATGTTGTATAGCCGGTCCCAAGCCCGGATAAAGGAGGAGGGTTGTGTTAGGCCCTTGACAGCCAATGTAAAAACCCGTCGAATCTCATGAACATGGATCAACGAAGTAATTATGCTAATGCTAGGTCGTTGCCCAGATGTGACGCGCTGTATGGCTCGAGTACAGTGAGAAATGAGCTAGAGCCGCTGCATCGTCGTCCGGATGTAGTGTTAAATGAGCAAGGGCTACCGCACTCTCTTGGACGGAGGCGGCTAAAGAAGTTAGTTCATGAGACTGAGATTAGATTTGGCACTTGGAATATTGGGACGTTAAATGAGAAATCTATGGAAGTAGCAGGAGTTATGAGGGACAGAAGGATTAATATCTTATGCCTCCAAGAAACCAAATGGACTGGAGAAGCTGCCAAGGAACTTGGAGAGTATAAACTTTGGTACACAGGAAAGGTGAGCACAAGGAATGGGGTTGGTATCATCGCTGATGGGACATGGAAAAAAAACGTGGTAGAGGTTAAAAGGTTTGAGGACAGAATAATATCGTTAAGAGTAATTGTTGGAAAGGATACTATCAATATCATTAGTGCCTATGCACCTCAGGTTGGGGCAGAGACACACCTTAAAGATAAGTTTTGGGAAGATATGGAGGGCTTGGTTCAAAGCATACCACTCGAAGAAAAAATTTTATCGGTGGGGACCTTAATGGACATGTTGGTAAAGAAGCAGGACAATTCAGTAGGGCCCATGGTGGTTTTGGTTTTGGGGAGCTTAATAGTGGAGGACAATCTATTCTCGATTTTTCTCTTGCATACGATCTTAAGATTGTCAACACTTGTTTTAAGAAGCGAGGGGAGCATTTAATCACGTACAAAAGTGGTGTCTCAAAATCACAGATTGATTTCTTTTTGGTTAAGAATCCGGACAGAAGATTGTGTACTAATTGCAAAGTGATTCCAGGAGACGGGGTGAGTGCCCAACATAGAGTACTTATCCTTGATGTATGTTTTAAGAGTACCAGGCAAAAGTACCATCAAGTGGCAAAACCCAGGATTAAGTGGTGGCAGTTAAAAGGAGAGAAGCAGGAGTTATTCAAAAGGACTCTTTTGAAGGAAGGGAATTGGGAGTTGCAGGGAAATGCAAACATGATGTGGGAAGAGATAGCTTCAAGGGTTCGTTTGGTAGCTAAAGCAATTTTGGGAGAATCCAAAGGTCCTGGTCAAAGAGATAAGGAGACTTGGTGGTGGAATAAGAGTGTGCAAGAGAAAGTCAAACAGAAAAAAGATTGTTTTAAGGCCATACACTTGTGCAATAGTGTAGAGAACCAGGAAAAGTATCAGTTGGCTAAAAAAGAGACAAAGAGAGCAGTGAGCGAAGCACGTACTAAAGCTTATGAAGGGTTTTATCAGGAGTTAGGAACAAAGACGGGAGAAAGAAATATTTACAAGATCGCGAAGCAAAGGGAGAGGAAAAAGAGAGATCTGGACCAAGTAAAGTGTATAAAGGATGAAGATGGTAAAGTGTTAGTTACTTGATGGTGATATTAAGGACAGATGGGAGGCTTACTTTTACAAGTTGTTTAATGAGGGAAGCAATTATGCGACTCAGGACTTGCAGGACTTGCTAATTAACGAAGATGATCGGAATTTGGCTTTCTACCGCAGGATACGTATCGGAGAGGTTAAGGCGGCTCTCAAGAAAATGGACAATGGAAAAGCCGTTGGGCCTGATGGTATCCCTATTGAAGTTTGGAAATGTTTGGGCGATGAGGGGGAGGCGTGGCTAACCAAGCTTTTTAATGAAATTCTACGCTCTAAAAATATGCCGGATGAGTGGAGGAAAAGCATTTTAGTTCCTATTTACAAGAATAAAGGAGACACTCAAAACTGTGCAAGCTACAGGGGGATAAAACTTATGAGTCATACAATGAAGTTGTGGGAAAAAGTGATGGAATATAGATTGAGGTTGGAGACTTCTATTTCGGAAAACCAATTTGGATTTATGCCAGGGAGATCCACATCGGAAGCAATCTATTTACTAAGGGGGTTAATGGAGAGATATAGAAGTAAAAGAAGAGATTTACATATGGTTTTTATTGACCTGGAAAAGGCTTATGATCGTGTGCCAAGAGAAGTATTGTGGAAGGCTTTGGAAAAGAAAGGTGTACGGGTTGCGTATATCAAAGTCATACAAGATATGTATAGGCGGTAACTACCAGTGTAAGGACGCCTGGGGGGAGACAAAGGACTTCCCTATTAAGATTGGCCTACATCAGGGATCCTCTTTGAGTCCGTACTTGTTCAACATTGTTCTGGATGTTCTAACTAAACCTGTTCAAGAAAGAATCCCTAAGTCCATGCTCTTCGCGGATGATATAGTTCTTATGGCGGAATCAAAAGAAGAGATTAACACTAGTTTGGAGTTATGGAGAAGGACTTTGGAGTCGAAAGGTTTCCGTTTGAGTAGGAACAAAACAGAATATATGCATTGTGATTTTGGAGGGAGGCAAGGTAATAGGGATTTGGAGGTGAGGATGGGAGAGCAAATTATTCCTCAAGTATCAAAGTTTAAATACCTAGGATCCATTATACAGGAGGATGGGGAAATTGATGGAGACATTTCTCATAGAATACAAGCTGGCTGGTTAAAGTGGAGGAAAGCTACCGGAGTTATTTGCGATAAGAAGGTACCTGAGAAACTTAAAGGAAAATTTTATCGGACTGCTATAAGACCAGCTATGATGTATGGTAGTGAATGTTGGGCAATAAAGGGAAAACAAGAGCACAAAGTCGGAGTAGCAGAAATGAGGATGTTGAGATGGATGTGTGGTCATACAAGAAAAGATAGGATTCGAAATGAAAAGATCAGGACAAGAGTCGGTGTGGCACCTATCCAAGAGAAAATGGTTGAAAATCGCTTAAGATGGTTTGGACATGTGCAGAGAAGGCCTTTGGAGGCCCCGGTGAGGAGGGTGGATCAAACAAGATGGAGTCCCATAAAAAGAGGCAGGGGAAAACCGAGAAGAACGCTGAATGAGGTCATTGAACGAGACCTCCTAATCAACAACATATCTAAGGATTGGGTTGTTGACAGAACACGATGGCGTCATGTGATTCATGTAGCCGACCCCACCTAGTGGGATAAGGCTTGTTGTTGTTGTTGTTGTTAGAAAAAGGCAAATAATTTTGCTAATCGGAGCTCATCGTATGATGAGGAAATCATATAGACCCTCCAAGAAGTGTGTGGGCACTTGCTTTTAATAACAGGCACCGTACTGTTGACTAATTTTCCTTTACTCCATACGATTGTGGCCTCTGGATTCAAGCAAAAAGGGAAAGGAAAGAAAAGCCCGACCACAAGACCAAAGCTCCCCCGGGGGGGGTTTCTAAAGCCACCGGCCTTTATATGTGGAATTAGTCCACTCTACCTCTTCTTTAATTTTAGAGAACAAATTAACAAAGGATAGTGAAACATTAAAATAATAATAATTTTTTGTGAACAAAAATTAGTTTTTGATTTTTTGAAACACATAACAAAAACATTTTCAAACAATTTTTTTGGTTACTTTTGAAGACAAAAAACTGTTTTAAAAAAGAAAATGAAACAGGACCATATAGTTAATATTCTTGCTTCCGTTAGTTAGTCTGCATGGGCAGTTCTTCACAATTATGTTAGCATTTTTTGAGTGTCACTTAATACCCTTGGGTATAAGATGTAGATTGTAATTCAACAATGAAAGGCAGTATTACATAACGTGTGTTTGGGTTTCTGTTTTGAGATCAAAACATGCATTCGAATGTTTAAAAACTTGTTTGGATTAACTCCTTCTCAAGCTGACTTATGGGAATAAAAACATGGTACCGTGGAAGCCACAAAACGTTGCGGTTGCCGACAGAGAAGTCCTTTTACTGTTAATAGCCTTCTGAAAATTTTACCAACATTTATCTATCCCTTTTTCTCTCTTCTCTCTCCCGCCTCTTCCCCGTTATCTTTCTGGCCAAATGCGTCACTAGCTCATGATCATTTTTTGAATATCTGGTTTTCAACCACCAGGCTCGCAATCATCTTTTGTCTTCGGTCTTCAGCCACCCAGTCCAAGATTCCCTTCCTGTTCCTTTTCGCGCCCCAGAAGAATGATGATGGTCGCTGTATTTTTTGGAGTGTGGCGGCTTATGGTGATGATTCAAGAGGAAGAGAAGGCGAAG